GGTTGGACCTGAATCGTCGATCTGGACGGTTCAGCCCCAACCAAGGCCTCGCAGCAGTGAGGCCGGTCCTCTTCGAACCAGTACTTAGTACTGGTCCGGCCTCACTTCGAGGCATCGACCTACCGGCATTCTACCGGTACGGTATGGTACAGCGCTAATCAGCGCTGGCGCTAATCAGCGCTGGCGCTATCTTTAGCACAGGAGCAACGAGAAGCAGGCAGCGCAGCAGTAGCGCAGCAGTAGCGAGCGAGCAGCAGCAGCGGCGACTGAGTGCACCGGCGGGTATAGCCGCCTGAGGTATCGGGAGTCGGAGGCCTCTCTCCTCCCTCCCCTCACCAGTCCCCTCTCTCTCTCTCCTCCTCGGCTCCTACGTCTTCTTCTTCTTCAGACCAGAGACCTATACTAGTTGGACAGAGATCAGTGTTGGACTTCGGTGGTATGAGACGGTGGTACTTACCGGATTGGAGACTTGGAGATCGTTGGGGTTGATATTTGGCGACATCACAGTTCAGACACCGGTTACATTTGGACTCTGTATCCCCGACATTGGTGACCTATGGTCCTCGAAATTTTGATCTTGTTGGATGACATTCTGGACTACCATATCGGTGACCTATCAGATCCTATCTCGGTGACTTTCGGTGGTCTACCTCTCCCCACCTCTTCGTCTCTCCTTCCCCATTCATCTGTGTATGTGTGTACGGGGCTGAGCATCTTCTATGTATGGCTCAGACCCCACCACCTCATGATTGTATGTGTGTGGAGTGATGCTATGTGAGTCAGCCTATGTGAGTCAGTCTATGTGAGTCAGTCCGTTCATCAGACTTCCGTTGCATATATGCTCATCCTACATTGGTTGATTCTTGGTTCTGCCCATACTCATTGGAGTATGTAACAGTTTTGGCATCGGAGCAGACCATATAACGGATCTGCTCACAAAGGTAAGTCTGGTTAGGAATTAGATTGCCTTCTCAATCTTCCAAATCAGCGATGTACTACTATTAAGTTCAAGTTGCAAATTTTTTCGGTAGTCTGGTTATTTCGGCATTTCCTGTTCAAATCAGTATTCGAACTTTTATTCGGATTTTTGTTGTACACCGGTATGCTGTTTAATTAGGATCCGAGAAATTGATACTAATCCAACATTCTGTTTGATTCGGATTTCTGATTTTACGCGTATTAGGGTTGAATCAGTATCATGTTTGAAATTCGGCTTTTCTGATTTCCATTCAGCATTCCGTTTTTCGGGATTCTGTTGTAAATCCTATATTTCGTTTTCTTTTGGATTTCCGTTGTCTTTCAGTATTGGAATTAGGGTT